TGTTAATTATTGAAACTGTCCTACCAATTTGGTTTGAAACTGTCTCATTGCTATTTGTTTCTCAATAAAATTATGGAAAAAAATAAAATAAATAAAGAGGCTGCAGACGTCACTCAGTGCGAAGGGTCTTGGGTTCAACTCTCAATGCTGCAAAAAGCAGGAAACAAAAACACCTTCTCTGAGATACAGGGGCCTGCTGTGTGGAGAGCAGCAAGACTTGGGTGAGCTCTCAGCAGTCCATGAGAGCTGGTCCTGTGGATCATCCCAGCAAGTCAGCAGGCCTGGGTGGTCTTGGGCCCCGCTGAGACCCGTGGTGGGAAAGCATTGTGACCCCTAAGAAAGCCATGATCTCCCTGCACTGCTAACTTCTGGCATGAGGAAAACGCTCCTCACTGCCCAGACGACTTTTGCTGCCTGTTTGGAGCCAGGGCACTCCAGCCAGAGCTGTTGTCAGCCCCCTCAACCTCTCTGGACTTAGGCTTTGGGGGCCGTTGCTTCAGCCCGGCCCACCACCTGGAGTCCCATGGGTTTCCCCGGTTTTTCCTCTGCTCCAAAGGGCGGATGCCTTCAGGTCCCGCCGCCTCGCCCCCCACCCCCCATGAGCGTGGCCCCTGGGCGCGCGCACGGGGAGATGCTCTGTAAGCGCTGTCTCCAAGCAGCCTTTCTAAGCGGCCGCAGTTACCAACGCGCTGTGCGGCACCACAGCCTTCAGGTGGCGCCACCGCTGCTGCTCGTGCCCGCCGGGACTTTGCAGTGAAGCAAGTGGGCTCACTCTACCCTTTTCCTGCTGTGGCAGAGATTGCGAGCAATCCTTTCTGGTCGCCTCGCTGCCCACCTTCCTCACAGGCTGCAATTGTACAGCCAGGACACTGCGTGGCGGTAGAGAGCAGCCCGGTGGCATCCCCGGAGCGGGCGCAGAGGGCGTCGCAGGAGCGTGACGTAGGGCCCGGCGGCGCCGCGAGCTGTGACGTAAGGCCTGCGTCACACGCGCGCCGCCGCTTAGCTCTAGTGTTGAGCCTGGGGGTGTGGATTATGGGTCCGGGCGTGCAGCTTCCCCCCGAGATCCAGCTGGCACAGCGTCTAGCGGGCAACGAGCAGGTGACCCGGGACCGAGCGGTGCGGAAGCTCCGAAAGTACATTGTCGCCAGGTCCCAGCGGGCCACAGGTGAGCCGGGCCTCCGAGGCGCGTGGGGCCTCCGCGTGGTCGGCGCCCTCGCCTTTGAAATGGTCGCACAACTAGGCCGCCTCCCCCCCCACCTCCCCAGTTCCTTACCCAGTCTGCTCTGCCTCCCTCAGCGAAGGCTTCACCACCGGGTCGCGTCCCGGGCTCTCGGGCCATCCACATCTCCGCACGGCCAAACTCGTCTGGCAGGGTTCTATGTGCGTTTGGCATTGTCGTCCCGGCGCCTCTGTAACCTCTTCGGGGCCGAGAACCAGCCTCTTGCTGTTCATTTTGCCTGTTTTTCTCAGTGTGTGCCTCTTTCACTCCCTTCGGTTTCAGCATAACCTGGACGTTTCTTGGAAATTCCTGTTCTGGGGGCCTGGCCCAGTGGAATCTGAAGCCCTGGTGCCCTGTGTTTTAGGAAGCTCCGCAGTTACGCACTGTGGGCTGAGGATCCTGCCTCGGGCAGGCTTTTTCCAGCACACAGAGCCTCCGTAAATGTGGGCTGACCTTCTTTCCTAGCCTGAATGGTGAATTAACTTTTGTTAGTTGAGGTATAATACAGATGCATGTCTCAGTGGGATGCTGGAGAATAGTCACCTATAGTCAAGCTGTGGCCGCCATCCAGTCAGGAAAGGACAGAGGTTCAGAGCTGTGACCCTGAGTGGGATATGGTGGCTGATGCTTATAGAGCTTCAAAAGAGTTTAGTGGGTGCAGGAAGTTACCTGGAGGGGACCTCACAGCCAGAAGTGCAGCAGGCTCTGAGTTGGAAGGTTTGCTTGAGGGGAGGGGCAGTGACACACACATCCAGCCCCCTTACCCCAGTTGTCCCTCCCATACAGCACATGGGACTTTGGACAAGTCCTGGCGACCCAGTTTCTGGGCATTAAAGGGTCAAGTTTGTTTTGTGTGAACTCTGCTGTTTGGTTGCAGGTGGCTTCACGCATGATGAACTGCTGAAAATATGGAAAGGGCTATTTTACTGCATGTGGATGCAGGACAAGTTGCTCCTGCAGGTGAGTGCACAGCCACGTGGCCTGAGACGCTGGGGGAGCCTGGAGGGCGGTGGCTGACCCCCTTCCCCCATAAATAGAGACGACAGAGTTGTGTGGCCTCCCTGTGTTGGTCTGTGTGGCTGGTGGCCCCAGCACGTGTGGAGGACAGGCATGAATGCAGTGGTACTGCTGGCAGTGGGGCAGCTGGTGGAGTGAGTTGTTTTGTGTTTGTTCCCACTGTGATCAAAACACATGAGTACTAAAATGACAATTCAGGGGCAGCATATACGTCTTCTGAGACAAGGATTTCCCCTGCTGGCTATTTTTAATTTTTTTATGAATCTTTATTTGTTTGGTATAGCTGCTACACTGCTCAGACTTGTAATGATCTCCTGTTTCAGCCTCCCCAGCATTGAGATTACAGGCATGTGCCACCACATCAGGTTTGGTGGTTGGCTTGGCATGGCATGCAGTACCAGGGATCAAACCCCAGTCCTTGGGCTTGCCAGGCAGGTGCTTAGACCGCCAAGCTATCTCCCCAGCCCCTGCTGACCTTTTAGAAATGGTTCTCAAAGTCTGAACTGTTAATGTGCACACCAGGCTCATATTTTAAACACTATATTTCAGAGGAGGCTCTGGAATCTTGCAACCAAGCAAGAGTAGCCAAGCAGTGACTTGCAGGTCTGGCCGGTAAGATGGCTCTCATCCATCTGTACCACAGCCCCTGTGACAGTTACCCTCTTATTCAAAGTACAGTCTCAGTGCAGAGGACATTGTCCATCTGTTGGCGCTGGCTTTGGTAGGGGCTTTTTGCAGCAGGGGAAACTTGTAGAACTGGACTCCACAGGGCTGAGACCCCTGGCAGCTGGTCCCTGAGAATGAGGGGACGTTTGCATGTGTCCTCACCATCCGGAGAACACAGTGCTGCAGGGACAAATGTGTTTTTATTGTTTCCTACACAGGAGGAGCTAGGGAAGACCATTGCTCAGCTTATCCATGCTTTTCAGACCACAGAGGCACGTGAGTAGCTCTGCCATGGCTGAGCCCTTCCATAGATGCCAGAGCTGAGAGTCAAAGCTGCAGCCACAGAAGTTCATGTTCTGAAATCTAGAGCAGGAAGCCTCCTGTGTGTGGGTGTAGTCATGAGGGGAGCAGCCTGTACGCACTCCCTCACCCAGTGGAATCCCCTCAGGAACAGGAGAGACTGGGGGCCTGCCGTATGAAATTAGGATGAAGAGCCAGTGAGGTGATCCCACAGAATTTGAGTTCCCTGATAGTTGTGAAACTACGGTGTATTTTTTCTTATGTGTTTAACCTGACCGTGATAAGTAGTTCTGACTTTACCTGCACATTAGGATCACTTGGGCAGCCTGTAAGCATCCTGACATTTTTGCCAGGTATGGTGACATGTACCAATAATCCCAGCTACTTTGAGAAGGCAAGAGGGTCACAAATTCAAGGCCGACCTGGGAAATTGGGCAAGATCCTTTCTCAAAATAAAAAGGCCTAGGGATGTAACTGAGTGCTGGACTGCTTGCCTGCCATGTGTGAGGCCCTGGCTTCTGACCCAGTGCTAAAAAATGATTCTTTAAAAGAATCCTGATGCGCAGATCTTAGTCTAGTTGTGCCACCTCTGGGGATGTGGCCTGTGTGTTGCTGCCTTAGACCTTCCTAGGCTCTCGGGGTCCTGGAGGCTGTGCGTGTTCTAACACAGCTGGGAGCAGCAGGGAGTGACGCGCTGGCATGTGTGGTGGGCCTTCCTTTGCTTACACAGGACAGTTTCCATGCATGCCTGTGCCCTGACTACTTGGTCAGGACTCTAGCTAAAGTAGATTAGAACCTGCCTTGATAGCCCGCCCTGTTTACCTTAAGACCTTATCCTGGTCTGAGGCCCTATGGGGTCAGGACATATATGCATGATGTTGGGGGTAATGGTTCAGCCAGGGTGCCCTGTGTCTGGCATGAGGTATTGAGCTTATGTGCCTGCCTGCCAAGTATAAGTGTCCTTGGCCCTCGCAGTGCTCAGGCTCAGCCTGCACCGGTGCAGCCCAAGCCCTGTTCTGTCCCAGCCGCAGTATGCTCTCTCCATGGTGCTGGCATCCATGCCCTTCCCCCTCCTTCCCGCAGAGCACCTGTTCTTGCAGACCTTCTGGCAGACCATGAGTCGTGAGTGGGCAGGCATTGACCGGCTGCGCCTGGATAAGTTCTATCTGGTGAGGTGGCCCTGTCTCCACTGAGCAGTAGCACTGGCTGCAGGCCTGCTCCACCGGGTCTGGGTTGTGTCCTCATCCCATTCGTAATGGTCTCCTGAGGCATCTTCCCCACGCACACATGGGAAGGGGAAGTATGATTAGTGGAGCCTGGGCCCTGCTCCTAGTAATGTCTGTTCCCTTCTGTGGCAAAGCTCATGCGGATGGTCCTGAATGAGTCCCTGAAGGCCGTGAAGATGCGAGGATGGGGAGAGAGGTCAGTGCGCACGAGTCTGTGATTGGGATGGCTTGGGTTCCCTTATGATTCTTTGTCCATTGAAGGGTGCCCGTGTGGTGTTGGAGATGGGGTGGCTAGAAAACTCTAAATGGTCCCCCATCACATTAATATTATCTCCTAGTTATTGCAGCTGATTAGGCCAGATCGTGTAGAGCTGGCCACTTGTGTCCTCATGGGTTACTGTTCCTGACTGTAGAAGACTTTAGGTCATCCAGACTTGTCATGCTGATGGTCTCACTGGGAATGTGCTTGTGTGCACAGCTCTGAGCTGCTTCATGTGGGCTTTCACAGACAGTGGCAGCTGTTGTCCTGCAGATGGTGCTGGCCACCTTCCTAAAATATTTTGGGGTCTGTGTGTTGTATTTTTGAGACAGGATCTCACTGTGTAGCCCAGGCTGGCCTAGAACATGCAGTGATCCTCCTGCCTCAGCCTCCAGAGTGCTAGGGATTGCAGGTGTGCACTACCCTGCCAGGCACTTTCTAAAATATTTTAAATTGATTTTTCCAAAGAGGAAAGTGATGGATGATGTAGAGTGTGCCTAAGGAGAGTCACATGGAGAGAAACCATTCTCTCAGGCTCTCACAGAGAGCACATTGGCCAAGCAATGGCCTTGACTCATCCACATGGCTGACACTGACAAAGGATCTACAATGTGAGGTACAGGATCTCAGGATAAATCCTGAGGGGATTTCACTGACGTTATCAGACCCAAAAGCTACAACTCTTGCTGCATAGGTCTTGCTTTATCTTGGTCTTAACCATCCAGCAGAAAAGTATAAAAACAAAGTATAAGAAGTAAAGCCATGCTGTTGTGTTGAGCTGTAGGGGACTCAGGTCAACAATTTCTGACATTGCCAGTCAAGCAGAAGACCCAATACTATTATGGACTACTGGACTCTTTTTAGAATATTTTGCTGAGTTAGCACACCAATAATATTCAAATAACGGAACTAAACAAAAAAAGGGGATACAGATGAATGTCCATTTTGTATCTGTGTATTCAAAATGATTAGGATAGATATATAATTACATTCTCTTAATGGATAGAGGGATTTGTTCTAATGGTGTTTGTAAATAGGATATCAAGTCCGCTTCTTGTACAGCAGTTAACCACTAGGAAGAGAGTATGCAATGTGTTAATTATTGAAACTGTCCTACCAATTTGGTTTGAAACTGTCTCATTGCTATTTGTTTCTCAATAAAATTATGGGGAAAAAATTAAAAGGACATGGAAAAATGTTAAGGTTTACCAAAAGAAAGAGTTAATGTTGAATTGATCAGTCTTACATGCCTATAACTGGTAACTTGAGCAATAGACTTGATAATAATACATAAAAAAATAAAATAAAATTTTTTAAATTAATAAATAACGTTTAAAATAATTTTTTAAAAAAATTTTAATGTATTTAGTACAGGGTCTACAGAATTTCACTACACAAATTGGACCCGTAGCGATCCTCCTGTTTTCAGCCTCCCAAGAGCTAGGATTTCAGGCTTGCACCACCATGCCCCGTCTCATTTGCTGTTGCAGCGTGGCATGCCCAGAATCGAATGCTGGTCCCTTTGTCTGCCTCATCAGGCACTTTAGTCCGCTGAGCTATCTGGCTGGCCCTTAAAATAATGTTTTTATGAATAATGTGTGGTTAGTATAAAGAACTCATGTCCTGCCAGCCCTGCCCTCAGGGCGCACTGAGACCGGAAGTGACACTGGGAGTGGTGGTACATGCCTGTAATCCCTGCTATTGGGAGCCTGAACATAGGCGGATCACTGGGAGTCTGATCTATGTAGTGAGACTCTAGACCCTGTGCTAAATAAACATGCACACAAAAAAAAAGAACTCAGAAAACTTCTATGAAATATTAAGTCTTTTCCTTGTCTGTTTCTGGTTCTAAGGATTAAACCCAGGGACTCTCCCATTTTTTGCCATTGAGCTACAGCCCCAACCCTGGAAAGTAATTTTAACTCAAAGAGATAATTATTTTTCTTCAGATGATTAATTTTAAACCATTACATAGACAAGGCAGGGTCACAGTTTGATCCTCACCTGAGCAACATAATAAGGCCCTGTTTCACACAAGGGGTGTGAGGTGCAGCTGAGCTAAAGACCAGATTCCACCACTGGTGCCATAGAGTGACTGTGTGGAACCAGCACAGGTGTCCTGTGTCTGCAGAGACGGATGTACAGGGTCACCTGGTCCATCTTCCCAACAGCAGCCTCCTGGTGGTGCTGCTGCTAGGTAGCAGCTAGCTTCTTTTGTTTTTCTGGGCCAGTTTGAATTGACTTGTGAATGATAAACATGCACGGCAGGCTGAGCAGGTGTCACTGCAACTGCTCCTGGGTGCAGGAAGAACAGTTTCCTGTGGGTTTGTGGCTGGACTGCTGTAGCTGACTGCCCTGCAGGGGTGTAGGGGAGTGATCCCTGACCGGGCCTAAGTTCCTCTTCTGAGGAGGAGCGCCTGGGCAACATCCCTTCCTCAGTCAGCTGTGCCCATGTAGTGCTCAGCTGTGGTTGTTGTTTGTTACCGTAGAAGCTGCTTTGCCCTCAGGGTCACTTTTCCCGAAGAGTCCTGGTGACATCCCCTGCAGGGGCAGCCTGTGCTGGCCTGGCTCATGCCCCTCTGTACCCTCAGCCCAGCTCACAGAGCTGCTCTCTTGTGTCTCGTCCCCTAGGCTGACTCCAAGTGCTGCCTGTTTCTCTGGGTTTGTACCTGGTGTCATGTCTGTCTCCTTTCCCTGAGGCTACTGAGGCTTTGCTTTCCCCCCCTGCTAACTATAGGGGTTAACTCTGCTAACCAGAGTTCCATTCACTGGAGTCCAGGGACCACCCCACCCCCCGCCCCCGCTTTTTTAGGGCAGAGTCTAGGGGTGCTCAGGCTCTCATTACTAGATTGGACTCATAGTGAGTCTCCTGTTTACAGCCTCCCCCCCCCCCCCCCCTTTTTTTTTTTTTTTTTTTTTTTTTGCGGAACCAAGGATTGAACTCAGGCCCTTGCGCTTGCCAGGCAAGCACTCCCTTTATTTTTGTTTTTTGGTTTTTTGATGCAAGATCTCACTGGGTAGCCCAGGCTGGCAGGGGGACGGACTCCTTAAGGAACATGTTTCATAATTGCAGATGAGGGGATCTGGACTCCCATCCCACCTCAGGTTTTAGCTGCTCCCATACTGCTGTAACTGCTCGCTTTGGGCACCTCAGAGGCCCTCGCTGCACCAAGAGAAACTGACACTCGTGTCACCTCCCCAGTATTCCCTGCTTATAGCTTGTACCTCCCCTGCCCTGCTCTGTCCAGGCCTGGTGTGACTTCTGGTGGTCCCCTGTGGCAGAGGACCCTGTAAGGTAGGGTGGGGTGGTGCCTCTGCCAGGCTTTTCTCCTGCATAATGAATAGAAGGCCCGTGTGGGTGATGGCATGTGGCCCTTTCCATAGCCAGGTCATGCTGCATGTTTCCAAGTGGGATACAGCTACTTACACCTAGACCCAGTGCTTCAGAGTGGTTGGGGCACCTAGCTGTGCTTCCTGCCAGTCTTACAATAGGGGCTGTGGTGTACATGTGGTACTGGATCCTGACCCCCATCCCCACAGGGACATCGAGCAGCTGCTACAGTTGCTGATGACTGAGATCTTGCATGAGGACAGCCAGGCTCCCAATGGTGTGAAGAGCCACTTCCTCGAGGTCTTCTTAGAGGAGTTGACCAAAGTGGGCGCCGCCGAGGTGAGTCGGGCTCCGGAGGGTGGCTCAGCCCAGCTTGACTTGGGGTGCATCCTGAGGCTGAGCTGCTGCCCTTGCTTCCACAGCTCACAGCTGACCAGAACCTGAGATTTGTGGAGCCTTTCTGTAGGATTGCCGCCCACACTAAGGAGTAAGTGGATAGGCCAGCCCTGCTCTCCTTTTGCTGCAGCTGCCTCAGGAGCTGTGGTTCTGTGCGACCCTGGCCTGGGCCCAGAGGGTGATAGGACGGGCATCACTGCCCATCTGAGTGTCCGGCTCTGCCTCACCTCAGCTCCCTGGTTCTGCACAACATCACACGAGGCATCTTCGAGACGATTGTGGAGCAGGCCCCCTTTGCCATTGAAGACCTCATGAAGGAATTGAATGCGCAGGAAGGGAAGGACGAGGTGTCAGACAGTGATGATGAAGCAGATGGTGATGAGGAGTCACCAGATGGTGGACGTGTGCATGATCTGCCACCACAGAAGCTGCCTGCAGGTGCGGGGATGCCTGACTCTGGGCACCTGACCTGGCACCCATCCTAGACCAAGCCCCTGGCTTCCTGCTGGGCTGCTCTCCCTGCCTCCTGCTGGGCCCTCATCTCTACCCTCCCTGGTGCCCTGCATGACTCCACAGCCAGAGCAACTCAGCAAGCATGGCTGGGGTCTCGTGGCTACCCACCCTTGCTCTCCCAGCACTCTGGGCACTGTCCTGCTGTCTACTGCCCAGCCCAGCTCCAAGGTGGCTCTCTGGGGCCTGCCTGCCTCTTGCCTGCTGCTGGCTTCTCCACTGTCTCCGCAGTCAGTGTGATCCTGATCCTTGGCCAGACTTCCCACAAGGGTTGCAGGGCCTCTGGGTCCTGGAATGTGGGGCCCAGTGTACCACTTATAAGTGGCCCTCACAGAGACTGGGAACAGTGCTGTCGTGCTGGTGTCAGCCCGGCCTGCGTCCAGTCCCAGTGACACTGCAGGATTTTCCCGTGTCAGATCCTGTTGATGGTCTGCACCCATTACCACTTCAGGACTCCCTTTGTGGGCTCCCAGGCTCTTTGCCCCTGGTACTTTATGTTACCCTGTGTCCCCTCTTTGAACAGTAGTCCTGGTCACACAGGCATCTCCTGGCAGATATTCTAGCACCTGCTGTAATCCTGTCCACACCCCTGAAGCAAACTCTTGTCCCGTATTGCCTGTCCCTCAGCCCAGCCTGAGCCCTTGTCTCCAGTCCCCATTCAGGCCACCTGTGTCTGGCCCTTTGCCGTCCTTACTTACACAATCCTGGCATATCTTCTGCTGCCTGTAGTGCCCATTCCCTTGACTGTGTTTCCTCCTGTCCACACCTTGGTTTTCTGCCCCCGGGAGGCCCCTTGGTGCACACAGGGGTCCTGGGACCCCGTGTTCTGCACGTACCAGGTGTGGGGCTCGGGCTCATGGGGTCCCTTTGATCTAGGCTCCCCAGAGCAGGTGGCAGATGATGAGGACAGCACCGGCCCCGTCCTCCAGGTAGGCAGCTGAGATTCATCCTCCCACGATCCCCGGCTTGGGAGGGAGAAAGTGTCACAGTGGCAGGCAAAGCTTGGGGACCAGCTGGGCTCAGCTTTGGAAGAGGCACCCATCCTGCAGTCTCACTGGGTCCTTGACATTGGCATTTGGTACCAGCTGGGAGTCAGCTCAGAACATAGAATGCTGTAGTTGGAGACGTGGAATTTCTGAGATTTTAGTGCTGGTTGCCTATTGGATTAGTAAAGTCTAGTGGCCTGGGGTTAGATAAATATGTGGGCTTGCTTACTGTCTATCTGTCTGCATGGGGAGAACTGAAGTTGCCAGGAGATGGGTCACACTGGTGCCTCATGATCCTGTGGGCAGCCTTGGAGCTAGGACGGCAAAGTCTCATGCTGTCCACATGGGGTCCAGAGGCGACTGATCGTATCTTACTGGCATCCCTTTCTGTGGCAGTTTGACTACGAGGCAGTTGCCAACCGGCTATTTGAGGCAGCCAGTCAACAGAACACCCCCTCTCAAAATAGGAAGCGCCTCTACAAGGTCATCCGCAAGTGAGTGTCCCCAAAGTGCCCAGCCTTCTCCACAGCCCACTCTTCCAGTCTTTCTGCATTGACCTAAAGAGGCCTCGGCTGGGAGGGAGGTTTCAGAGCCTTCAGAGGGCACTATTTAGGGTCCCACTAAGGACCTGGAAGGTGCCTGTGGGTGCAGAGCCAGTCAGTGGTAATGGTGTCTGTCTCTTACAGGTTGCAGGACCTGGCTGGAGGTGAGGCTGGAGCAGTACCCAGTGGCTCAGACTTGGGAGCCATGGTGTCTTTGCATGTGGGGTGTGGTCTTCGTGGTTTTGGGAGAACAGTGCTTCTGGGCCACATCTGTGTCCTCTTGGCTGTGTGGGCCACAAAGGAGCCTCCATGTACCCATTCAGCATGCAGTCCTGTGTGCGTTGGTGCATTTCACCTGGCAGGTGGGCTTATGCCAGTGTTTTGTTCCAGTGGGAACATGAGCTGTCCCTATCTTGTCACATGCCTGTCCCCTGCTTTCCGTCCAGACAACAGCCCACACATCAACATATCCATCAGGCAGTCTGTTACTGTAGTCCCACCCTCTGGAGTCAAGAACATCAAGCTGTGCATGGGCTCTCTCTTCGTCACGGGTTAACGATGATTCCTGGGCTGTTGCAGGCCTTTTCTGCCCACTGTGCCTCTTGACCATGCTCTGCTCCTCAGGTCACTTCCCTGAGGATGAAGTCCCTGAAAAGGCCTGCAGTCGTCTGCTGGCAGGGAGGAGGGTGCGGAAGGCAAAGCGGCGCTGGCTGCAGCGGCAAGCACAAAGCCAAAGAGGTAGGGTGTAAGGACACTGGCACAAGGTTGCCTATGGCCCAGCCTGGGACCCTGCAGGGAGGGTGCCACACCATCCACATGCCCGTGGGCTCAAGGGCCAAGGGAGGAACGGTTCTGGGGCAGATGGTGATGCAGTGGGCCTAAGGGCCCCTGAAGAAGAAAGCAAAGGAGGAGCAGAGAAGGCTGAGACCAAAGATTGGAGGGTGTCCCCAGGCCAAAAGCAGTGGATGCTAGGACCTGGGCACCCTGCTCAAGTCATCTCCCATGATTTCCTGCCCTGGCTTGTCCTGTTTGCTCTTCTTGTGCACCTGCTCCCACGCCTGAGCGTCCTCCTGCACTCCTACTGGTCTTTCTGGAGGCCCTGCTTCCCAGCAGCACAGACTGCTGTGGAGTGTGCTGTCCTTGCAGACAGTGTCCCCATGGCTGTCGTGGCTGCATTATCCACACACTGCCAACTTCGTCCTGGAACACAGCTGGGCAGCCTATCCATACGACCTTGCTGCTTTGACAGGGGAAGTTGAGCAGGAGGCAGCACCGAGTCCAGACCTGAGCCCTGGAGATGAGGGGAAGAAGAGCAGGAAGAGGCCCAAGAGGATTGGCCCTGGGCTGCACAAGGGAGCCAGTGGCAGGAAAGGGCCCTGCCAGAAGAGGAAGCAGGCTGGACAGGCGTGTGTTGCTCCAGCAAAAGCTGCTGGCACCCAGAAGCTCAAGAGGAAGAAGAAACGGCCGCTGGAGAGCGGGTAGTGCTGTGACCGGGCAGGGATGAGCAGCACCATGCAGGTGCCCAGGTACCGACTGAACTGCATGTAGGCAGGGCAGCACATGGGTCAGCCTAGCCTCTGATGCCTGTGGTCCCCAACTTCTGTTGGGGTGGATAAGGAGGGCAAGCCCAGGACATGCATCTGCTTCAGGGCTACCATCTGCACTTTCTCTCTTAGAGCCTCATCGCCAAGGGACTGTCATCCATGCCCTGGGGTCTCATCGAATAAAATGCCGTGGGTCCTGCCACACTCTGGAACCCTGGTGTGTGCGCACATGTGTGAGTGAAGTGCCCATGTACTATCGAGCACTGTTCATGTTTTGTGTCCATTCTGTTGTAAAAACCTGTTGACACATAACCCTGGGGGAAGCCTGCTGGCAAGCAGCTTGCAGTGTGTGGAGGTAGGCCATGTCCCTCGTCCTTTTCGCAGCTGGGACACTGGGGGCCAAGGGAGACCTCCAAAGGCAGCCTGAGTGAGGGCCCTATGATACACACTCAGTTCTCAGAATGGTTCTGGGGGCTGGGGTCCCAGCTGGTAAATCCTAAAGCTAGTGCTATATGGGGGATTGTAGATCAAACCACATAGCATTTGTCCTGCTGGTAGCTAGTGTTCAAGGGGTGGCTGGCATGGCACAGGGCACAACAGCTCTTGCAGAGAGCACTGTTTGCCGGGGGCCGCTGTCTTTCAGGATTGCTTTGTGCCTGTTCACAGTACCCCTTTGCTATGGCAGTTCTTGGGGATAGGAAGCCTCAGGATCTCAAGTGTTCTCTGAGACTTTGTGCTGTGGTTGCATTCACAGCAGGCCTGGCTCCTGTTGCTCTTGTCCTCTTATTTGGAAGCATCCTGGGGTCCACAGCTCATGTGACAGCCCAGTAAGGAACTTGGGGCAGAAAACATCCAGCCTTTGCTGGCTGGGTCTGATGTCCCTGCCACATGGGCATGGTCACCCAAGAGAGCTGCAGGCCGGTTGGGCTGGGGGGTGGGTAGAGACTGGAGGGAGGGGCAGAGGCACAGCCACCTGGTCCTGGGCCATGTGGTCTACATATGTTGAAGGGTGAGCACAGCCAGCACCCTTTGGTGGTCAGTGTGTTGTGGAGGTGTGATACCCTCCTGTCCCTGCCATTTCCCATGTACCTCAGCTTGTGCCTGGCCATGACAGATCCCTAGTGCTATAAGGAAAGAAGATCCTGGTGTGTGTGTGTGGTGCTGGTGCCTAGTTTAATTCCAGCATTCTGTGAGGGTGAGGTGGGAAAATCACAAGTGAGACCCACCCTGAGTGACCTAAGGACTTGGACCCTGTCTCAAAAAGATGGCTAGGACTGCAGCTCAGTATCAAGACCCCACCCGGTACCACACCCGAAGAAAGCCACACAGCCATGGTATAGAAATTGCTGCATAGATGGCCAGTCCTAACGGTCACAGCAGGATCCAGGAGCTTTGATTTTCTCAGTCCTTCCCAGGGCAAGGGCTGGCATAGCCCCCAAGGCCCCTCAGCCCCTGTTCTGTCACTCCCTGATTCTGCCCAGCTCACAGGCTGGTAGTTCTGCACCTTCCTACTTGGTCGCCCTGGGCTCTGCCACCCAGGGGGTGCAGGCGCTGCCTCCCCTGTTTCCATGGAGTCCTGGAGTGCCCACTAGGCTCTGGCACTGCTCTATCCAGGACATCTCTCCAGTCTGTGCCACGGAGCACCCGCAGCACCCCTCTCAGCCCTGCCTGAGGCTTCTGCAGACTGGAGCACTTGGTGCCAGGACCCCAGCTTGCACTTCCCTCCCTGCTTCGTTGCAGGCCTGGGGACTGTGGGGTTGGTTCCCCCTCCAAAGCCATTCAGAGCAATGCATGTGATGATGGCAGCCTGATGGGCTCCTCTGCTGAGTTGGGACCAGCTGCCTCTTTGTCCCCAGCTTTGTCAGTCCTGGAGTGCATGTGTTCTCCAGGCCTGGTTGACATCAGAGCCCCATGCAAAGAGTGTGAGGCCCTGTGGCTGCTTCTCTGTCTAAGAAACACCTTTTCTGGGCTCATAACCACCTTGTGGAGGTGCTGTTCAGCAGCTGTCACACTTTGGTAGGGTGGTATGGAAGTAGTCATAGCAGAACAAGTTTGTCACCAGAAAGAACGTCACAGCAACCCTGTCTCAGCAGCCTCTAGGATGAGCAGGCCCTGACTGCCCCCAGCTCCAAATAAGCCACAAGGAGAAGCCATGCATCTGGCCAGAGGAGACACAGGAATCCACATTTGGGAGGGCAGCATGGTCCATCCCCACCAGCCACTCATTCTCTGTCCAAGGTGAAGGCCATGTTGGATGGGGACAGCCCTGCTGGGCTTGGGGCTGGCCTCAGGGTGCTCCTGAGAAAGGGGTCCGACAGGATGTGTGTGTATGTATAGGGGCTTATTTTAAGGGACTGGCTCACAGGGCTATAAGCCTCAGCAAGTCCAAAAGCTGCCTGTGGAGGCTGGTAGGCTGGAGGCTCACAAAAGAGGCTATCAGCTGGCAAAATACCTCCTTTCTCAGGAGAGGTCTTTATCCCTGTGAGTTGGAGGTCAGCCTGCACTACATAGTAAGACCCTATCTCAGACAGCCAGCCAACAACAAAAATGATCCAAAACCAAACAAAAGGGAGAGAGGGAGGGGGAGAGAGAAGAAAGAGAGGGAGAAAAGGAAAAAAGACCAGGTCCAGGAGCCTCTGCCCTGCGCCTTCGCTCCCTATCCAGGGAACCTGCACAGGCGCAGTTCCACAACCTGCCTCTGGGGGGCCCTTGGCCCTGAATGGCTCTGAAGCAGAGCCTCCTGTCATCTCTGGCCCCTGGGGTGGGGATCACAGTCCCTGGTTTCCAGGAAACGAGCCCCCAGAGCTGTAACCTCAGCTCTGCAGAGCTGCTGTCTGCATTCTCCCTGTTCTTCGAGGTCCGCACCTGAGGTAGTACATCTCACACCCTCACCCCTGCACCCTTGCCCATGCAGCAGGCCATGGTTGTTCATAGAATCTTTAGAGGAAATTCTGCCTTTGACAAAGGGATGCCATGCCAGAATGTAGGGCATCATGGGCACAGGATGCTTTTCCCTTGCTCATGACAGCATCCCTCAGGGACCCCTCCTGAGCCCTGTGGCTCTGGCCTACCTGAGGGGTGCACCTGAGCCATGTGCAGCCCTGATTCCTGGAGGCAGCCACCAAGGACCTGCTTGCCTCACCCTGGTGCCAGGAACCAAAGGCAGAAAGAAAGCAGATGGTGGCCTGCCTGCTGCTGTTGGGTTGTACCTGGTGGGGGCCAGGGAAGGAGCCTGAGTCTTCACCTTTCCTGAGGACTGATCCTTTCCCTCAGGAACCTCCACTGCAGCCCAGCAATGCCACCCACATAAAGACAGGTGGGAGGATGTGGGCATGGTCTAGAACCCAGAAACGGCTCATGCATCCTGGTGACCCCAAAGCAGTTGCAGCTGTGCTGTGACATGAAGCCCTTGCTGACATCCTGGCCCATCCCCCATGAGCTGTTCTGAACTATGCTGCAGGTGTGCCTGGGAGGGCATCCTTCAGAGCACTGCTAAATTCAGGCAGGGAGCAGAAGCATCCTTTCTGGTGAAATGCACTTGTACCAAGTGGCAGAGCTGGCCACATCTGTGCTCCCAGAGGCCCTGCAGCCTGCAGCCCACTCCAGTGTGGCTCCCATGACACCCTGGGGTGAGTGGAGATGTTGCTGGCTGGCACCTGGGCTCCCCTTGAGCTGCGGCTACTTTGTGACAAGCACAGTCCTCCCTTCAGCTGTGGTGGGCAGCACAGCTCCTTCAGGGCCCAGTGGTCACCAAACCCTCACTGCTGGGTTCTTCCCTTGCCCTGACTTCCTCCTGGGGTGCAGGGGACCCTTCCTGAATGATGTAGTGCAGCTTCTCTGTCCACTCACGTCAGGGCTCCACAAGCCCCCTCTCTCCCTCATGTGGAGCTGCCCAGCTGAGCACTAAAAGCCATTGTCAGGAGCTGCCTTGGGCTCAGGGGCACCAGAGAGTTGGGGCTGGAGACCCCGCCCGGTGTGGCAGGAGGTGCTGCTGTCCTCAGGGCAGCCTGTGCCCTGGAAAACTGGCTTCTTGGTCATCCCTGGTGCCTCTCTTGCTTTCTGTGCTGTGTGCAGAGCTCCTGTAGTGGCCTTGTCCCAGGAGCATGAGCCTGTGAGGAGGCCTGGGTTCCTGCTTCTGTGGGGGATATAAGGGAGGGTGGAGGGCCCACTGAGGGACAGTTTTCTTACCACCCCCTTCTCTAGCCAGTCGCCACCATGGGCTCAGGACCCCCAAGACCCAGCCACTCTTGCTGGATCCCCAGACAATGGCATACGGGCCTCAATACAGAAGCTTTGGGGCTCTTGGCTTGGAGGATTCATTGGTGTTAGACCGACAGATGGGGGAGGGTGCTCAGGGCAGCACCTCAGTCTCCCCATCTATCAAATGGACATGGAAAAAGACCCCATTCTCTTGGCTGTGGAGGGCTCAGTAAATTTGTGTGTGTGTGTGTGTGTGTGTGTGTGTGTGTGTGTGTGTGTGTGTTCACTCTGCTCCTGGGCCATGGAGGACTCCATGCCTGGATGGGACACGGAGCCCTGGAGCTCCTGGGGTGTCAAGGCACTTTCAGGTTTATACACAAGAGATAGAGAGATGGCTGCTCTTTCCCAGGGCAGGCAGATGGAAGAGGAAGGATGCACTCCTGGGAGCTGAGGGAGCCTAGTATTTAAAGGAAACTGTGTCTTTGGAGCCACCTCTTGCTCCAGCAAAGCATGCTCACTTCCTAGCTCATCCTGGGGAGGGAGGGGGGCAGCATCCCACTAACCTGCCAGAGACCTGCATTAGCAAACAGCTTGCTAATTGTCCCTAGCTCTTGAAAGCACTCTTGACATTTCACAGCTTTGTGTTACAATAGTAATTTGCAGCTCCTACAGCGTCACCTATAAATAGTGGGACAGACCTCTGCAAGAGCAAGGAAGGCCTGAATAGCATAATTACCCCAGGCAGTGAGGTGCACCAGCATCTGCCTCAATGCTACATGGCCTTGTGATGCCCAGCACAGCCCAAGACCTTAAGACGTAGCAGGCGCATGCACTGGACAGGTGGGAGAGCAGTGCTTCCAGGCATCCAGCCTGGGCCACATGCATCCTGCATCCCCACTGAGCAGGCCCCCTGGGAATGCATGGTGGGGACAGTCACCATGTAAAGCTGCCAAGAGTGGGGACTCAGTCTCAGGCCATCAGCTCAGGTCCACAGAGCCTTCA